GGCGCGGCGGGGGAAGTGGGGGGGCATCCGGGGGTCAAGACGGCGGTCACGCAGCAGCTGGCGGCCAAAATCGTGACGGAGAGAAAAACAATAGTGACGTGTTCAACGACGACCCCGGCGGATTTTGCCGCTACCACCAGTCCGAGCTTCACACCAACGAGCAGTGTCGTCTCCAGCAGCAACTGCGGCGCGCGCGTTCGAGAGAGGGCGCCGAGGAACGCCGCTCGGGCGGCGGCAGCCGCGGTGGCGGCGGTAGCCAGCGAGGGGGTAGACCGCCGCCCGGGCCAGGCCGCGGTGGCGGCCGATGGGTGAGGCTACAAGGGCAGCAGCACCACACCGGTCATGGTGGCGATGGCTGGAGCCAAGCCTCACCCCCCCCGAGACCTCTTCGTGGACGTGGGCCTGGTGGTCGTCTGGGGCGTCACCCGGGGGGTCGTGGGCCCGCGGGACGCCACAGCAGCGACGGGCGTACCGAGAGAGAACGGGCAGGGAGAGGCCCGGGGCACGCGCGTCTGGCCACGGACGAGAGCAGGCGTACGTAGCGTATCACGCCCACGATGATGGTGGTTGCTACGAAGACTACGGCGACTACGATGACGGACGCTATTGCGACGACGGCTACTACGACGCCGGGTACGCACACTACGCTGGCGGTGGGGACAGCTACAGCTATTCCTCCGGGTACGAAGACAACCGCTCATCTGACGGCAGCATCCACTACGTCTACTACCCTCCCACTGGCGAAGATTCGTCATTCGAGCAGCCACGTCAGCCCCCCCCCGCGAGCAGCAGCACCACCGCTTCCTCCTCGTCCTGTACTCCTTCTCCAGGCGCGCCTCCATCTTCGGGCTACCTCCCCCTCTGGACGGCACAATCGGAGCCCATAAGCAAGTCTCACCCTGAAGATTTTTTCAGTAGGATAGGAGTGACGATTGGAGTAGAGTCTGCAGCGTCTGCTTCGTCTTTGCTGAGTGTGGGATCTAGTGAGGGGCCGCCTGGTAGCGAGAGATGGGTAGCTGACTCAGGAGCCAGCAACAGTTTCACCAACAGCAGCCTACACATGTATGACCTGCAAGAGATCCCCGCCAGTAGGACGTGTGTCGTTGTAGGTGATGGTCGACTGCTAGAAGTGCAAGCCATCGGTCGTATTTATCTTAGTTTCTTTCAGGAGGATGAGAATGGTGGGAAAACGACGATGTGTGTGAAGCTCACTGACGTGTCTGTTGTAGAGAGACTGAGTTTCAACTTGTTCTCAACGCATACTGTTCTCTGAAGCTACCAATCCTCTACGACGAACGTGGTGCAACCCTACAAAATGGACTGCTCTTTGCTAGAGAGGAAAAAGCGTCTGCAGCGTATGCCATGCGGTTGCCGTACGACCCATCTGCGACTATTGTAG